CGTAATAATTGCCCAATGTGACTGCTCTTGGTTACCCAGGTAGCACACCATATTGTCCGATATTATGCAATATCAGCGGAGAATCTAGGATTCGGGTCTGGGGGAGGGGGGGGCTGAGGTCATAAAAACTTTGTATTGTCATGATGAATGTCAAACCTCAAGGCTAAAGTAAACCAAAACTCTTTAACTTTACAGACTTTACTCATTTGACAATAAGAATCATAAAGAACACTGCAATACTTTCGATAATTTAATAAAAATTACGGTGAAATAACTAGCCAAAATATGTCTTCGACCGTGTCAACGCTACAAGTACAAGTGGAATGACTAGAAAAGTAGGAAATTTTTCGAGCCCGTCAAGCTAGAAAGCAATGTTGAAACGTTTTTATTATTTTTTTAAAGAGAGAAATTAAGAAAAAACAGTTGTAATGATGTTAAATAAAATCAAGAATTCTGGCTTATCTCTGGGGGGGGGCGGTACGCCCCCCCCCCCCCCCCCCTGGATTCGCCACTGGAGGAGCACAACCCTCCGTTAGTCTCAAGATCTAATAGATACGCATGAAGTCTAAGGTATTATTTCCAACGCTTTTCAGTTTAAATTTTTCTCACAGAAAACTCATGTACATTCTGATTAGGACTAATTATTGTAGGTGTAACGGAAAAAATTATCAAACCGGACGAACGTATAGAATAGATTTAAATCCTCGAGATGCATTGCCCCCATTTAAGAATGAAAAGGATTGCGACAAACGGAGGGTTAATAACCGGTCCGTTGCCAACATTGCACTAAAATGACCAGTGGAAGAAAAATGATTCGAAAACTAACTGCAAAGGCCGTTTCGCTGCGTTTGGACTCTTGTAACCGTTCCAAGTGCCATAAAAGTACGAGTGCAGTTGGAAACACTCGCCCCGGCGCCACGAATCCTGCCGCCTGTCCCGTAGCGTTGTCCGCTCCCACACAAAATCGATAAATCGTCCTACCCCTTAAAAGAATTCTCTTTTTCAGTCTCCGCGTTTCGATTGGCTTCCGTGATAGACTGGCCCTGTTTACTCAGACAGGCCAGGAAAAACCGCACATTAAATGTCATTTCAAAAGGGATGGATAGTGGATATTAGAAATTTTCTTGTGGGTAGTTTGTAAAATCCAGACTTGGTAAGTGGACTGCGGGAAATGTGCAGCTTAATTGTAATATTAATTGAGTATAGTTGTCAGTTCTTTTATGGATTTTCAACTTGGTTAATTTTTTTATTTGTATTTTTTTTTTACTTTCTCGTATACGAAGTATACAAACAGAAAGTATTGTAATCGTTGAAAAATTCGAACTCGAGATTTCGGTGAATCTCCACGTTTTAGACCTCCCGAATCCGAAAAACACAATTTTGGAATTATGTCTGTGTGTCTGTATGTCCGTGAACACGATAAATCAAAATTATTAAAATACAGGAATGAAATGTGGTATGTGATCTTTACTCATAATTTGCAGGTTTCTATCAAATGTTGGACAAAATCCGTCAACGGAAAGTCTGTCTGTCCGTGTTCATGTGAACACGATAATTCAAAAAGTTAAATAGCTAGGTGGATAAAATTTGGTACACAGTTTCATCATCAGGAATGTAGGCTTGTATCGAATTTTGGACCAAATCTGTCAACGCCTTGACTGTCTGTCGGTCTGTATAATTATATGATTCCAAACACCATAACTCCTAAACGCAACGACTTAGATAAATGAAATTTAGTATGTGGACTTCTAATCTTAATTGTAGATCCGTGCCCAATTTTTGTTTCAATCGGTTGGAAAAAATGTTTCAAATCGCATAACGATTTTCTTTACCTTACGCAAGACCTTTTGCGTATTGGCGAGAATCCGCCAATACGCGCCAAGGGAAACTCGTTTTATGCCGTTTGCTTTATTTTTTTCTCTACCTGTGTTAGGGACGCTTGGTGTGTTTTACTGCAGTTTGGATTATTTTTTCCCCACATGTGTTAGGGAATCGTCCACGTTAGTGCTGCACTGTGAATTTTTTCGCCCCGCTTGTTTTTTTTTTTTACTTATTAATTTAGTCAGTGATTCCCGGTCATTCGTAATATGTTGCAAGCAAACCCCTAGAAGTTGGTACACACTCTTAACACGCCGCCAAATCGCCAAAGCAATACCTCGATCGCTGCACTTCAATGATGCCAAGTCGCCAAAGCGACTGCAAATAATACTTGCATTAGCTTTGGCGACTTGGCACCATTTTAAGAGTGTGTACCAATTTCTAGATTTCAACCGCAAACCCTACGCAATACGCGATTTTATGCTTAAAGCTTAAGAATCGTCGTAAGCAGCAGTAGCGCTAACTTTCATCTGTCCAGGGAGTAGCCTAGTGGTAAGGTATCGGCTTCGGGACCCGAGGGCCTCAGGCTCAAAACCCGATTCCACTGGAGATCCGCCCTATATGTGGACCTGCTGCACGCCAAATCATACGTAATGGACCAAACATCGTCCTGTTGGTGTGGTGCGGAAGTTTGAAGAAGGGGTTGCAGCTCAAGTTTCGTCCCCGTCATCTGACCCTGGTTCGGAATAACGAGGTCTGCCCCCAAAATAGCTCTCGTGTTGCTTCAAAACGAGCCGTTAATATAACTAAACTTAACATCTGTCCAGGAAAAGCATTGTCTTCGGAATTAAATTAAAAATAGGAGACGGCAACTTACATTTGTAATAATTGGGAATCTGTCTATTTGGAACATGGGCTTTGTTTATAAATCATAATTATTCAAAATATCGAATGTTTATTTCTCTGCTTTTATCCTGTGCACACAGTGTGTGCATCGTATAGAATACTCATGCATTATCTTTTGGGCTGGATAAAATGAATCAGATTTCAGCCAGGGTTTTGCAAGAACTGCTTCAACCATCCTGTGTATTTTAGTCCACACCTAGGGGCGCCGAGAGCCGAGGCAGTAGGGATGTGAAAAAACCTACCGGTTTAAACCGAAAACCGGTTATTTGGAGCGGTTTTAACCGCCAGGTTAAATCGGAGGTGAAAAAATAATTGTATAACCGAAAACCGTTTGTTTTTGCAGTAACCGCCACCTCTACGAGGAAGGCAAAGTACTGGCATCTGGGTACCTCTCCACATCCAATACTTCCTCTTGAAATTAAGAAATACAGTCGACGCTCGTTATAACGACCACACATTATAAAGACCATTCCATTATAACGACCAGTAATAAAATCCCCAACTATGTTTCCCTATGCACTCTGTGTTATTTTACTTCCGGTATAACGATCGTCCAGTGTCGTCTAATCCCAATACAACGTCCGAATTCAGCGGACACTCTTTCCGGTATTTTCCCCAAAAATAACATGTTTCTAAACGTAAATGAGCTTGATTATTGTATTGCCAAGCTTCGTAGATGTAGAGTCTTTAACTTACCGCTCACCACAGCGCGGAAATTAGAATAGCCTAGAATAAAAAATGTTTCAAGTGCTATTGAGACTTTAAAATGTTTTTTTGAAAGGCAGAACATTATTTATCATCTTTAACTGAAATGGAAAATTATGATTTGAAAAAATCACATTTGCAGAAAAAACAACCATTTCTGATTTTTTCTTAAGAAAATAAATGTTTTGTAAGTATATAACACCTTTTATTTTCTACTTTAAAACCTGTTTTAGAAATATATTTTTAATTGATAAAATTTTATTTTTAATACCAATGATAAAAAATAATTTGAGTATTTAGTTGGAATCTCTTTAAAAGTCGCCTATTTTTACGGAACTGCTGGGCGTGCATGCGTACATTTTTTAATTATATCCACTATAGCGAGCACTCGTTATAAAGACCTTTTGCTGTGGGACGCAGAGGGCCATTATAACGTGCGTCAACTGTATATATATTTCCTTATCTAGCGGGTCTCTCCTTTGGGCCTGGGTCCCTAGGCTTTATCCCCCGTCCCGTTGCCCCCCAGCCCCCCCACATCTGCTTTGCTTTTTTATATTACCTGCGTATCTAAATCTGGATCAAAACTCTTTTATCCGAAGTCCTGTTCTCTTAGCATTGAATTAAGTTTTGCATTATCAATCATATAGTCAAATTATAATTAAAATCATATAATCAAATTATAATTTAAATGTATCTTATTTCTAATAAGAGGTGGGAGCAAGATTCATGGAACAAAGCAGGACTCCTTAATCTAAACATAAATTTACCGTAATTTCTAGAAATCCCTACTGACAAGTCTTAAAATTTCAACCGGCTTGGAGAATGACGCCATTTCATATATTCTCGATGTAACAGCATAAAATATTTCACATGGAAGTACCTAAGACATCTTGGAGATGATTTTCAAGACCCTGATATCAAATCGTTGGACTGATGATTCATAATATGAGTCATCGGAACAGGTCGACTCATTCTTTTTGAAGACGTCAGAAACAAAAAGCTCTTGAAGATGATTGCAGAGTTTGAAGCAATGCCACGCCAATATTGTCTCCTCCCATTTTGCCACGAAAGAGTTGATCCCTCGCATCGAAAATGAGATGTCCAACTATTGTTCGATTGTAACCTCGGTTTCGGGACTACTTATTGAATAAAGAAGATTGGATTCATGATGACTGAATATTGAATAAAGAAGATTGAATTCATGATGATTGAATAAAGAAGATAAAATAATGGTAAAGAAAAGGAATTATATTTAAAGTTCTGCTAACATCCGTATAATTCTGCTCTTAAAGGTCCAAAAAATATGCTGTAATTTGAACTTTGTGTGACACGAAACAAAGGACTACCGTAGAAAAAGGGTTTCAGGATAAAAAAATTATTTTAATTTAAACAAAATATTTGTTAAGACAATTAACACTACAAGTATTAAAATAATGTTTTATTCTGCATCATCAGTATCAAGGTATTTTTTTCCTTCAAGATATCTTCGTCCTTTGAACTTCATCATTATATTATATTGTCTTCTGTGCCGTACTTTTTGTAAAGTCTTCATTATTTTATTTTGTCTTCTATCCCGCACTTTTTGTAAGATCATCATCATTTTATTTTGTCTTCTATCCCGTACTTTTTGTAAGATCATCATTATTTTATTTTGTCTTCTATCCCGTACTTTTTGTAAGATCATCGTTATTTTATTTTGTCTTCTGTCCCGTACTTTTTGCAAAAAATTCTATTGTGTTCTTGTACAGTTGCATTCATATTCATAAATCTCTTGGTCTCATTCCATCAACCATTATTAACTAATAACCAATATGCTATTAACTAATTTCAAATAGGACATCATTTGCTCTCTTAAATGCATTTATTAAGCTGCATGTTATTCTAAGATTTCTATGATTCTCGAACCGAGTTGCTATGAAACCGTGTTCTAGGATGCAGAGTTTTTTGCAAGTTTGAGACCAACTTAAGTCAACAAGTGCGTTGTGTCATGGTTGTGCCGTTCGGGAGTTATCAGTGGTTATTCAGAAAATTTTAAGGAAATGCTCAAGTCGGAATGATTTTTCAAAACTATATTTGGCTGCAAGTATTGAAAAAAAATATTTATATAAAAGAAAAAGGCTCTGTTAGAGTTTTAGCAGCTCTAATTTGGTGGACGCGTCCCCACTAGGGGTCTAGACCTACAGAGGTCCAGCTATGAATTAATTTTATTAGAAAGACAGAAAACACGAACTAACAATTGAGCATACATTTTAAGGTAATTCATTTGTCGAAAAGAATACTGAAATAGCAATGCTTTAAACAGAATATGACCACTGCCTATGACTTGATTTACATTTAAATGATTGATAGATAATGGGTCAAGACCTGCGGTAAAAGAGATCCTTCATTAAATCCATTTTAATTTCGAAAGCGTGGAATTTGAAATCACACCATCAACACATACAAGATAATTAATAGTGATTTATAAACATTAAGGTAATTTATTTATGGTAAGAAAAAGAGCAATCAAATAGCAGTTTGCTTAAAGGCGTATAGCTACAAACTATTAAAGCGACAACTAAAGAATAAAAGTTCTCTCTATATGTATAATACGCTAACTTACGTGGCACAGAAAAGAGGTTAATTTCTCTTTTGCCGCTGGCAACGATCGGTTTGTTTACAAAACAAAACTAGCAGCCTCCTCCATGTTAGGCATAACTCCATAACCTGTTACTACATTCGTTCTGGTGTAAAGTAACATTTTCTAAAAAAAAAAAAGAGTTTTAAGGTGAAGAATTCACTATATAATGAAGAAATGAAACATGTTGCAGACATGACACATTTCAGAAGAAACGCGGATTTCAGCTTTTTTGGTACCGGATTTTATCATCCGTAAATTTTTATTATATAATAATTCTACAATATTTTTGATATCTTTTTGTATAAATTTCTTTATTTTATTGTTAGATTAATTATACTTATTTTACTTCTCGATATTTATGTTTGGCACGATTCATTATTTAAGAAGTTCAGCCTTTTTTTGCTCCAAGCCTGTGACATGTCTGATATTGTCTTAGACGTCAAAATAGTTTAAGTCAGTGAAGATAAAATCCTTTCAGTTCACAAATTCATCATGTAACTTACTATTGTGAACATTGTACATTGGCTACTTTTCTGTTACGCGCACGCCACTTGGCGCTTTTTTTTTTTTGTCTTGACAAATTTTCTTGGAGCGCTGAATCGCCAGTTGGGCTCTAGAAGCGCAAGGAAAATCATGGTATGTGTATAATCGAGCGCAGATGCTCTTCGCGGGGTTAGTTGATAGAATTAAAATATATATTCAACAAGACTTCCATTATCGAAATACACGCCCTATGAGGATTCTACTAGAACTCTTTGTAGATTTCCCTTCCTCTTCACGGTAAAAATGAATAAATAATTTAGTTTAAAAACACATTATGATATCATTTCCATAGTCCCCGAACGGTTGTTTCGGCAAATATTAATTTCTACATTTAGTGAAAAAAATTATTCTGTAACTTTTGTATTAATATATAAATTTTTTTCACCACAAATGCATGAGCAGATGCTTTGTATTTGTGGAGCCCCACCCAGCCCTAAAAGTGGCGCCAGGGCGTAGTTGCCCATTTTCATAATTCTTCTCTTCGGCGAGTCCAATCAATTTGGGCCGCTCTCTCTCTCTGCATAATATATTCTGCGGTCTCTCCGCATCCTCTGGATGTCGTCAGAGATAAACAAGCCGCGTGTCGAATGTTGCGGGGGAGTTCTATATGAAAGATGTTTTTTTTTCTGTCCTTTTTTTTAAATGTTTGTCATGCTGTGAAAAATGTAATGGATATGGGTTATTAATTATCTACGATAATTTCATCGTTCCAGCAACTGCGTGTTTTTTTAAGAGCAAAACTCGGATAATTCTATCGTCATTTTTAAATTGGAACAAGTACTTCTCTGAGATACGCATGTATAAAATTAGTAGAAACATTGTTTGAAAATATT